AGACACAATCATTGTAATGGTATTATTCAACATGCATTTAAATCTGCGCAGATACCATCGATATCCTAGAACCTATTCATAGGGGTAGTCAAAGGGGGGGGCAAGGGGAACCCCCCCCCCCAGAAATTTATCACCTTTTGTGAATATCATTTTAAGCTAATAAAATATATCCCCCTTAGTCCTCCCCCACTCCCTGACCCTCAAATATGTATGCATATATCTTAAATAATAATTTGAAAGAAAGAATGTAAAAGTTCATATTTTTTTATAAAACTATTCATCATAATTTATAGATTTTTGGGAAAATAAATTTATAAATATATAAAATGAACCAAAAATGTTTTTTAATAAATGGAATATAAGCCAAAGATAAGTCTTAGACAGAAGTGAAATGTATTATAATTATTAATAAAAGATCCATAAAATTACTAAATAATATAATATATCAAATATAATTTTTTATAAAGTGAGTAATTTTAATTTATTTATCTTAATAAAAGTAAAATATAATTATAAAACTATTGATAAAATTAAATAATAAATTAAAAAAATATTAAAGCACAATACAAACAGTGGAATATTATATGTCGTAGATTTACAGTATATCTAATTATCTAATGACAATCAATTAATTTTTACCAATATAGCGAATTATATATTTTACAAAAAACTATAAAAAATTGATAAGGACATCAGAATATAAGACATTGTGGGATGAATAATATGAAGATTAAATTTTAATATCATTTTTACTTAAAATAAATAGATGGCGTTAAATAATTAAATGCAAATTGTTGCTATACATTGATTAGTAAAATTTGTTAAATTATTAACTGTAAAATATTCTCTAACTGTCAAATATGTCTGTAAAAGTGGAATTTTACCTAGTATTTTATAACTAATTCTATATAATAGAGTAAAATCAACTATATGTCTACTTACTTTTTATAAATAAATTTCTTATAATTGTTTGGAATAAATTATTACCATGCTCTTATATTAAGGTATATACAATACAAGTAATTTATTATATTTTTATTTTATATAAACTAATAAAAATATATTTCATATTTGAGGCTTATTTTTTTTTTATTAAAATTTGTATAAATATTTTATGACTATATATAGACTAAAGTAACCCGGCCGAAGGCCGGGGAAAAGAGGGCCGAAGGCTCGCCCAAAAGGGAGTCTGGGGGCGAAGTCCCCAGTAATTTTTTAATTTCCCCCCCTTATGAAAATCTTGGCTACGCCTATGCACTAGCCTCTACAAATCTTAGCGCAAAATTCGGAAATATCCAATAAACACATTTTCCTACCTATAACCTACTTTACATTCGCCAGATTTGGTAGCCGTGTTTTAACGTTCTTCAAGGAACTTGGTTCTCTTATTCGTAATCACTGATGAACCCAGGAAAGGTTTCTACCTTAGGCAAAGACTCTCCATTGCTATTCATAAATTAAATTACATCAGTTTCAGTGGAAGCCTCCTTCCCAAGGAGCTAACCAAACTTTTTTTTTAAAATCCATTTTAATATTTTATTTTTTTTGTATATAATAATCCTTTTCATATTTTAATTTTAATGTGGATAATTGATGAAGTACATATATTATAATAGAATAGAATATAACATATTAAACATAATACTATTTATAAAATAACATAATAATCTTTGTGAAAAACATTTAAAAAAAATTAAATTATAAAATTATTCTGATCACAATTGGTCAAATACATTCCTTGCTCAGGATTTCTCACCCATCTATATCAAGTGGTGCTCGACATTTGACAAAAATAACATATTATCCTGGGAGAAATTATTTAACTTTTAATTTCACATATTAAAAGTACCAAAAGATACAGATTGCCCATTCATCAAATTTTTAAATCACAAGTCTGGCCATCACAAAGAAACTACTCAACATAAAAATATATAATCAATGCAAAATTGGCAAAGCTCAATTCAAAAAGAAAATCATGGACAGAAATATCCTGGACCTAAAGACCTGAACGTACCCCGGACAAAAAGACACCGGACAAATATACCCGAATTTTAAAAATATGTTTATATGCTTAATAAGGAGTGGTTTTAAAAACGTTCACCTCTTTTAGGGTAAATTTTTTAAAAATTAGTATTCTTGCCTGGAGTCTTTTTATAAGTGGGTATTTTTATCCAGTGCCTTTCTGTCCGAGGTACCTTTCTCCTGCCTTTTTCCCCAGAACATTTCTGTCCATAATTCCAAAAAAGAAATTTAAGTTGTAAAGCTGCTTTATATTGTTTTTCCAACAATGACTTGGTAGCTCCGAATCCCTACGAAGTGTTTAAAGAACGTATTGTCTGGCAACTTGCAAATTCAAACATTAATCAGTTTTATCAATACAACCTCGGTTCTATTCTGTTAGTGTATCAGGAGCAATTAACTCTTTTTTGATTGCAACTGGAGGGATGGATATCGCCCATATTTCTACGAGATCTAATAAATTAAGATATAGCAGATCATACCTCTTGTTAAGCATTACAAAACAACTTTTAGTCAATGCAGAGTTACCCCACATTGTAATCCCTTTATTTTCTTGCCTACAACTAGTAGCCCTTTAAACCCCTCGAGGTATTGGGTCAATTGCCATAGTTGTCGTTTACAGATGGATAATCTATAAAATATGCAAACGAATAAAAGATAAATTATTAAATTTTTTTAACACATAATCAACTAGAATTTTGGATTCAATTAGGCTGTGAAACTGCAAGCCATGCCGGCAGGAAAATCCTAAAAAACTTGTCACAAATCATTTATTTAACAAACTTGTTATAACAATTGCTTCCAATTCATTAAACTGAAACATTGTAATTCAGAGTTTTCCTAAAAATTATCCAGAATTCTTTAACTAGTTACAATCAATCTATGAAACACCATCAATAACACATTACAAAAATTGGATAATTTTATTTGTCAGCACAAGGATTTCAACAGAGCAATTCTCTACATTCACCATTGTTCTTAACATAAATAAAATATTTCTGGATATAAAGAGATGATTAATTGTGACCAACCTGAACGCTTGATATTTGGATGACTCTATAAAAAATTAAATAAAGTCCTAGAAATTATTATCCTTAGCTTTCAACAACTAAACTTATCATCAAATAATAAAAAATGTGAAATTTATTCAATAACAAAATACTCTTATTCCCTAGATACTTCGATGACTAAAGGCAAAATATATATCCTTGAGTTACAAATAGGTGATGAGTATCCAAACATTCTCAGAAAATAACTTGGATAATCTAATATTAAATCAAAGCAAAATAACCTTAAACTCGCATACCATTACAATAGACCTATTATATGATTAAAATCTTCATAAACATTCTCAAAATTCTCTACTGCTTCAGACTATCATGTACCTAGAAATTCTTCAAAATACAAATTTTAAATTTATTTCGGAGTATATCTTCAATCTAAAATTAAGTTAGAATACATGGTTACAAATTACCCTTCCTACAATTTCGGAGGATTTGATCTTCTTTTTCTTGCATCAATAACCAAGAACTCATTTTTAAACTAATCAAACCCGCTGGGGATTTGTTGCTTAATCTCGCGTTATATAGATGGTCAAAAAATGTAGCAGAGGGAACAAATTATCTCACAATCAGCTTACAAACTAATTGGGATACAGCTATTGTGCTGCTCTTCCTTGACTATTTACTTTGATCAAGACACCGAGCAGCATACAAATCTTCATTTATTGGCTATAACAAAACCTATTATAAATAGTCAGAGAGCTCGAAGCAAAACAATAAAGTAACTCAGACGCCGAATTTAGATATGCAGTGACAATCAAGTTAGGAAGCGGACATATCACAACCTTATGAATGTCAAAAATGTGGAGCACAAGTTGATCAAAGCAAAACATCCTCTCCATTGTTTTTTTCATAGATATGATTACATACATATGCACTAGGATTACACCTGTATTCACATTTTCTTCTCTCTCTCATGGAAATTACAATTCACTTGGAATTACTGAGAGAAGAGGAAGAAATTTTTTTTCAAACTAATAAGTCAAAGGCACTACATCCACAATGTCGAGAACAAAATTAAAAAAAAATAAGCTAACAATTAATCCTTATAATTTCGAATATTCATGGCCATTACCATATGATGATGAAAACTCATAATTATTCTTTTTTTTAAAATTTATATTTATTTTTTAACATGCCTTTTTTATTAGTTTATTTAATTATATATATATTTTTTTAACGCCCAGGAAATTAGGCACAATTATATTTTAGTATTTTAACGTTATAATTTTTTATAACTTGAAACAAATTAACATGTTTTAAAATAACTAAAATGCATCGTTTACCTAATGGGCACACTAAAAATGCCATTTCTATATATTCCCTTATTGGATTGATTAGGTAATTAAAATTATAATATAAAAATGTTAAATTTGTTAATATGTTGTTCAATAAGAATAAAAATGTGTTCAATTTTATTTTAACCCCTTTATCCTGATAGACATTTTACACTGGTTAAGGTAAAATAGAAAAAATGTCACATTTCACATAAATAGTTATAACTCCTAAAGTATTCTAGGAAGAAACCCACTTTTGTTTTATTTTTTAGATGAAAGATTGGGCTACCATTGATCAATAAATGTCTACCTTAATTTTGTTTTAAATTCTAATTGAAAAGTGGAAAATATGACCGTTCCGGTTTCTTCTATAAGGCTAGCTCAAATTTTTTAAAAGTGTCAATTGGAGCATTCTAATATTCGAGCGTCAATATCAATTCTTTAAACAAATGATAAAAAAATTTTTTAATTTAATTAAATTTCATATTTTTATTTTATTTAGTTTTGTCATACCCTTTCTAATATCCACAATAATAATAAAGCATTGAGCTCATTTAATATTCTTTTAATAAAATTATAAATGTTGGTTTATATTAAATTATGTAAAAAATACATATATGCTATTTTGCTTGACGGGGGAAAAAAATTAACGTTTTGCACTTTAAATGTAGTATAAGAGAAGTGACCAGAAGACCACTTTAAAATAATCATTTCAAAATATTTATTTACAATTTGATCAATTGAATAAATAGATTAAGGTAAGGTAAATGACATAAAATACATATTTCGACAAGTTTTGAGATAAATTGGCCCAATTGTTAAAATTTAAGTGGGGTGGCAGGTCTACGCCCATCGTCGTTTAAGGTACTTATCCCCTACAAATATTATATGGATTAATGACTCAGATAACACAAATATTTCATGCATTTATACAATTCAATTATTTCGCTAACATAGTTAAATAAATATTCAATCATACAAAATAAACATTTGATTAAAGTTTTAATATAACTCCAATATAAAAGTATATTCGATATATTTTTTTAAATTCATTATTCAAGCATGTAAGATTAAATAAATTACTTTATATATTATTATAAAATATATTTACATATTACACTATCCCATTTTTAAATTCTACCAAATATTTGCACTTTGATACAACTTTTTCAAATTTCCATTTACTATAATAGACGGAAAACGAGACTATAGTAAGAATTATTAAGCAAATGATAAATGTCGTGGTCGTTATATAAAACATAGCTAACTGGTTATCAAAAACGTTTGATAGCCAGGTGGCTAATGGAAGACAGACAAGACAACCCATTCCGGCAGCAAAAAAGTATATGCCATAGACCAGGGAAAATTTATTAGAGCCAAACAAATCGATTACCAATTGGTTTAAGAGCGCTATTCTGACTCCGTAGCAATAGCCAAATAGAAGCATCAATAGACAAAAGTGGATGTACTTGGATGAAATGTTCATTAATAGTATGGCGCTTATAATACACTGACCCAATAAGCCAGTAATAAAGAATACGCCAGTGTACGAAGAACCATTATCAAGTGTTTCGTGGAGGCCTTGAATATTTGAATTGTTTAATAGAGAAGAAGAATAGTAAATACCCCACAAAACGATGGATATGCAACCACATAATTCACCTATTCCAATCCAAGAAATTAACGTGGAGCTCAAAAATGAATTAATACCCAGTCCTTGGGCAAATTTGGTTATCATTATAAGAACTATGATACTGCTAGTTTGTTCGAAAGGGGCATATAATATAAATAGCATGAATTTAAGACTTTTCACCTTTATCTTAGTTGGTAAAGTGAAAGTTGAAGGTAATAAAATCTTAGGTTCTATAGATGAGCGAGATGAATCAGAAGAATTACATGCATTTACAATCCCGTCATTAACTGAGTCATGATGATTTATTGCACTTTGAATTTTGGGTGACGATATTAAATTTTTTTCTGAATCAGAACCCGATGATAATTCTTCAGGGCTATCACTAGCATAGTTGGACACTTTATCATTAATATTCTTATCCTGAATATCTGCATCATTCAATATATCGCCGTAGAGTCTTTTATCCTCATCACCATCGGCTTTAACATTTAAACTCATATGGCTTCTAAGCAGGGATTTTTCTTCCTCCTTGATAGATTCGATAATTTCAGCTATCACAACGGGTGGAGCGGAAATAACAGAAACTAGCGATTGTTTTCCACTAATATCTATAAAACTAACCCTTTTCGTTAAGGTCCCTCTTGATTCATTAATTCCTAAGCCTATTATCCCTCCGTCTAAATCTTTCCCAAAACCGCTATCTTCGCATTTATTACTAGGGTAGGCCAAAATGGCTGCTATAATATATGCTTGCATATAGATTGATGCCCCGATAATAAAAGATCCTCTCAAACCATATTGCTTTAACAGGGCATGAAAAATGAAAGGAAATATTATACAACCACAAGCTATCCCACTCAGCCCAAAAGCGTTAGCCAATACGTATCTCCTGACAAAACATAATTTTAATATGCAAACGACTGGTGAATATAATATTCCGCCTCCAATTCCAACCAAAAAACCATGGCTAAAACATAAAAATTCTATTTGAGTGGAAAAATACGAAGCTAAATGCCCTAAAGTGCCCACGGTGCAACCTATGACAACCGTCTAAATATTTGTTTATTTTGTATAATAAAATAATATATTAAACCACGTAGATTTAAACAAAAAGGTAAGGAAATAAGATTTCTTAAAATATATAAAGAAAGGGGGAGATTTTAATAACTGATCTAAAATGCTTAATCTTACATAGCAAAGACTTTTTATTTCACATAAATGATTAGTTTTCAGAGGGTAACAGCCGAGGCTATGCCTCAACCCGAGCTTGGGCTAAAGGGGCCTATTAAAACTTTTGCATCATTCATTGATAGAAATTTAGCATGTATAATAGGTTTGTAAGAGACATTACGTAGTTGTTTTGTATAATTATTATTCTCGTGACATTTTATAATCTCAAAATTGCCAAAGTTTACCACCGATAATCAAATCCAAACAATAGCGAATTATAAAATGATATATTACTAAAATCCATAATTAGTACGCCACCCTTTAATTTTTTTAATCGTTAGTTTTTCCAATTTTGAAAAAAAAAAATACTCAGACATTTTACTTCAATTTCTTATTGTTAATATAAAATCATAATCTTTAATAATAACCAAATAAATAGGCATAGTTAAGCGGTTAAGAAATGTAAAACAAATCGCTTCTGAAGTAAATTTTTATGAAATATGCGGCATTTTTATTTATTATGGTTAAGTAACATTTTGAGTATATATATAAACTATGGAAAAAGAATTTTCGGGAAAAACAGTGTCTAAAAAAACTTAGGAATAAAAACTGTGAGAAATAAATTTCAAGGATAAAAATAAACTGCGGAAAATATTTTCAAAACATAGATGCGGGGAACGGTAGGGATAAATGTCTTTGGAAAAAAAATCTGTATATTTATAAAATAAAATTACTAAGTGTAATATTTAAGGTCAGTGTTATATTTTTAATTGTTCCTGTATATCTAGGACGTCGGTAAGATTTAAGGGGAGGGGGGGGGAGTAGAGAATTTGCAATCTCGGTTGAGCTCAGCAAGTCAACCCAAATGTCAAATCAGATGGGGCTTGACCTTGGCCTAAAAAAATTTATTCATCTATTTTATATATTATTTATGTATGTAATTATGACTGTTTTAGCTTGGAAATGGGATGGGTATCCATTTTTTTAATCTGGTCAGGCGATTATAACAAAAAATCTTACGATTTGTGATTTTATTTTATTTTATTTAAAAGAAAAAAAACTAGAAACCGAAACGAATATAGGTTCGGTTTAGATTCAGGTTTGGATAAGAATAATGGTTCAAGATTCAGATCGGTTCTTAAAAAATAAAATATCTGTTTGGTTCGAACTCTAAGAACCGGTTATAATGCGTTTGTATACAAGCCTAAATTTGAATTATATATTTTATTTGTTGTAATTGTTAATTTTATTGAGTTCTAGAGGGTGGTTTCTTTTTATGTGACCCTTTTGCTCTTACGTGCGCCTTCATAGTATATGACAATCAGTAGTATTATATTTCGATATGTCATTTTTAATATTCTAGGCATTATAAGCTTGAAAATATTTTAAAAAACGTTGTAAATGGCAATATACTAATGTTTATAAAAATTATGACTGAGATAATTGATAATAATCATTAATGCAATTCGGAAATAAATTAAATTTTAGAAAATAATAAAAATATAACCTTCACATAATCTTATAAGCTCAAAATCATGAGGCTCAAACCGATGTTTTAGCGGTTCAGTTAAGGTTCAGATAGAAAATTATTTAACGCTTCCGGCTAGGTTCAAGTTTGATAAAAAAAATATCGGTTGGTTCGGTTCAGGTTGGGTTTAGCCCTTGAAATAAATACATGCATAATTAAATATACACATATTAAATATTGACCTTAAGCATTACCTATATATTTTTATTTTATTTGTACATATATATACGGATTTATTTTCCAAAGATTTTTTATACTTTATTTTTTTTCCCCCACCGTTTTTTTCTCTTTGAGTTTCTTATTCTACAGTTTTTATATTTCTAATTTTTTTTTCTTCGTAGTACATTTATAAATAAGATTGTTTCCGCAGTTTTCTTTGCAAGTTTATATAGATATATTTATTTATGTTTTTTTTAGCCTGAAAATCATTTTTACTTATGTTTCGTATATATAAATCAGAGACCTGCAGACATTTGTAAGACCCTGCCCGACCCGGATTTTTTTTCAAAAATATTTTCCGGCCCTGCTCGGATTTTTTTTAAATTTATTTAATTTATTTTTGATGATTTCAAATATTTGGTTTTAAAATATACGGCCCGGCCCAGATATCTTTTTTAAAAAAAATTTCAGGCCCAGCCCGGCCGGGGTAAATTGGCCGGGCCTGTCTCTGATATAAATTAATTTCAATTTCCAACATATTTTTTTATATTTTATTAGCGGATTATAAGGGAAACAAAAAAATACGAATATTATAAGAAGAAAAAAAAGAATATAAAATTGATTTTGTACCAATTCGTCACTCACGACGACACCTTATCACTCAGACATTTCGCATGGCACTTGATACCGTGACACATTATCACGCAACATTTAATCACATTTTTATAATTATTATTATTTAAAACTAATATTAGGTAAATTGTATCTATCTAAGAAGATCAAAATTTTGCGAGTTAGGGTAAGAGCTCGCAAAAAATTATTATACATAAATACAAGGCCTGCCCATTTTTTAAGAAAATATTTGATTAATCAGATCAGGTGGAAAATCATATTGCTCATATCTTCAATTTCTATTTTTAAATAATTTATAAATAAAAGAGCCATAAAAAATATTTTTTATAAATCCGAATCGGGCCATAAAATAAAAATTTTTAAATCCAGTACAAACCGAGCTTAATAACTGGTCTGGGCCATAAAATCAATTTATAAAATCTGGGTTTGTCCTGAAAATTTAACCTGTGCTGGTCTCTAATTTCGAAATTGTAAAAATTATTTGTAGATTTCGCTCTGCTTGATAGTATTAAATTCAACTTCACGAATACCCTTAAGTGAATTATTTTACGACTGTGCAAATTACAAATGATTGATTAATTAAATATTAAAATCCGATAAATTGAAAATATGAGATGAATGTTAAATGATTCATTTGTTTATTTTATTAATAATTTTTTGCGAGAATTAACCCTAACTCATAAAATTTTCGCTCTTCTTAAAAAAAACAAATGTGAGGAAATGCATATTTATTTAAATAAAAATAATCGACTTTCAAAATGTGAATAAATGTATCGTGATACTGTGTTAGTTTAGTTTGGTGTTATCATGTGTCATATGACGAAAATGTTTGAATGATAAAGTGTCGTGATAAAGTGTTGTTGTGATAAAGTGTTGTTGTGATAAGGTGTCGTCATAATAAATTATCACCGTGATGAAGTTTGCCTGACGAATAACCAAGTGAAGAAATAACGCCCGGGGGAATGTTTATAAGCTTTATAAATATTCTTTTTATTTTTTACATAAGAGAAATCCGAAACGAATATTTAATAGCATTTTTAAAGATTATCTATTTTATCTTTAATTTATGATAATTAACATGTTTCATATTTTTTATGCTTAAAAATTTTCCCTCGTTCCCCAATTTTACTTAAAATTTCTTTCCAGATCCTTGCAATTTATTATATAATAATGAAATAAAATAAAAAAATTAACTTTATTAAAAATTAAGAGGGTGACAAATTAATTAGGATTTGAGATATCTATATCGAATATTATAATTTGACATCCAAAGAATGTGGCCTCCTGGACCAATTTACTATGTACCTTAATCACTTATGCTGTATATTAACTATTTTTATACCCAATGATAGCCAATTTTTCTTGATAGATAAACAGAAACAGGTCCCAGAAGCAAAAATAAAGCGCTAGGAAGTCCAATCAACACGGATATCAAAATTTTTTGATCGGGATACTGATTGATGTATGCAGTGTAATATACTCCATAAGAATAACACATACCTTTTTAATAATTTATATAAAATTTATATATAATTGATGGTCAAAAATCCAAATATAAAATTTTTAAATTTATGTTAAACGTTCTAAACTAAAAAAATTTTCCCATAGTTGTTTTTTCACATTTTTTGGTTAAATTTTAAAGTCCAACTTTAATATTATATTTATTATAAGAATCTAAGACAGGAGTAATTACCTTGATAAAAAAAAATGACAATAAAATTATAGCATTTTGTCCTACACTTAAACACTGGTTGGTATATGTGATTTTATTTTACAGTATCAAATTAAATACTAATAAAATATAGTAACATACACTCTGTATAAATAATTAAAATACTCGGATTAATAATTAAGATCATACTCTAACTCACGAAAGGTCATTTGGTAGGTTTGAAACTATTAAGTTTAAAGCCTAAAAATCTAAAAATAATATTATGATTTACTTTATTATTAATTTCAAAGAACTCAAATTAAATTTTATTAAATTTTTTCTAAATATTTCAATTTTTGAAAAACACTAAAACAGATCATTCGGCAAATTTGACTCTAGTGAGGTAAAAAAGGAAGTTTAAATGTAAAAAATATATTAAAAATACAATGAAAAAATTAACAAAAACAGGCTTACATTAATAAATTTGAAACACTCAAATTAAAAGTTCAAGAGCCATCTGTAACTCGACCATCGACCATGGAAAAAAAATTTCTGAAAAAATAACCCCAGAATAAAATATGGAAATAAAAATACCTGAAAAATTATCACTAAACCAGAAAAACCCTTCAAAAATGAAACCACAATAAATTTTAATATCTATTTAGAACGAGGTTAAAGTTAAGGTAAAGAAGTTAACTAGATATCGGTTAATACGTAAAAGATCCACCAAAAATTGGGGAAAAAATTGTAGAGATCTCTGTTTGATTTTACTGATTCCTGATCCTAACTAAGTCCTATTTTGGGATTGAGCTATAACATTAAATAATAATCTTTCTTAATTTCACTGAAACTAAATATAAGATAAGACCTGGCAGGTAATTGAAGGTTCTTATTTTTCCTTTTTACGTTTTTAAATTTTTATACTTTTCTAATATCCGAAAAAAAAACGTTTATGATATTTGTAAAAGCGTAAGAACCTAAAAAAAATTTTAATTTTTAGCCCTGAACGACAACCGACAAATACCTTTATAGATAATGGTTCGAGCTCCTTAAAATATAATAATAAGTCTACGATTAAACTATATGTTCCATCAATGGTTATTTGATTAAGATACCACAATTTGAAAGCTTAAAGATCGACTTCGATCTAATGATTTCTTAAACCAAAAAACACTCGATTGTTTAATTATCCAAAGTCCATTTTAGTATTGTTGCACATGGTTCCATAGATATGAAAAAGAATCGGTAGGATAAACAAATTTTATTAATGTTGCAGTTTCTTTGGAAGGTGGGGGGGGGGGGTATTTTACAAGAGAATTTCGCCTTAATGCTAATAAGAATAACTATCCATAGTTAACCATTACACTCCTTAAAAAGATTATTAACTTTGGCAACAATTGAAAAAGAGGCTATAGTATAAGAGTAAGGCCATATTTTAGGCTGGGAATTTGATATGAATAATCTATTGATTATAAAGGGCTGCTTTTTAGATTGAATTTCTCGAGTTGAGTGGAGGTATTTTTCCCATTTTGAGTTTTAAAGATTGATCGAGCTAAAAAATATATAATCTAGAATAGTTTCTACGATGTTTAAGTTGCTGATACATAGACAGACCCCACTAATATATTATTATTTTGATAAATAATTAACTCACATGGTGCAAATTAAAGTAGAATAAAATTTTTAAATTTTTTGTGATGAATGCGCCAAATATTCTAGGTTGTTTTAGCAAAAATTTGATGAGAAAACAAATTATATTTAAAATTTAATTAAAATTATATGATTAATTTAAATCGTCGTGAATAATGAAAAATCATTAAATCATGAAAAATAATAGATAAAAATTAAAAGAATTGAGAATTATTCTAATATTTACCTTTACAATTTCCCAAGATAGATTGGGTCATGCCCCATTGTGACCCTGAGATTTTACACCCAAATATATATATACTCTAAACGTTTAAAATCTAGATCGGAGGCCTTTAGGCCTAATCCAGGAAATGTTTTATAAGGAAAATGCATGAATTTTAGGATGATATAATTTACATGGATGACTAAATATTCCTCTACAGTGTATATCTTTTAAAGCAGCTTATAGAGATCTCTTCCATGACATGTATGAAATTAAATCACAATCCTACTTTAGCAATTTCTTATGCAGGCGCGTAACCAATGGGAGGGGGGGGAAATTCCGCCCCCCCATCGCAAATTTAACTGTTTTCATAAATATCATTTTTAGCTTATAAAAATTTTACCTTCCACCCCCCCCCCCCCCAATCAAAATTTTACAAATATTTGAATATCAATTTTATTAAAATTTCCTTTTATTGTGAGTACATTAACATTATTTAAAAATATTAATTAAATGGAAAAATTTTAAGTTAAAGAGATTGAAATCAAATGGTAATTTATTTTATTATTATATATAATTATTTTATTAAATTCAAAATTATTAGTAAGTTAGAATTAATAAGTATTTTTAATATTAATTATTAATAAATATCTATAATTTTTTAAATATTTTATTTTTACTTCGATTTTGTAGAAAAGAAGAAATAGAAATACAAAAGTTAAATAAGGCTGAGGATGAAAAAAAGTAATGTGTCGTCAGAATCGATATCATTATTGAATTCAATTGATCAATCAGAGTTTATCATTGCTGCTAGTTGCATCAATAAATTATTTTCCTATAGCTCACTACTTTGTAGAAATTTACAAAAATCAAATTTAGATTTGGTTCAGGTTATTGATTTGGCGGAAAATATATATGAACAGTAGATACAATAAGAATGAATGTAGATGAATATTTCCATAATATTTATATAAACGTTGAATCGAAGGCTAAATTTTATGATATAACAGTAATTAAACCTCGTCTAGCACCTGGGCAATTATTGAGATATAAAATAAATATTGGCTCAACTGAAGAATATTATAAAATATCCACTTTCATCCCATTCTTAGATACTTTTTATCGCAAATAAAAGTACGGTTTTTAGATAAAAAAACAAGTCTTTAGCAATCTTCAAGTTTTAATACCGAAAGATCCATCTTCGTTTTCTAATGCCACTATTGGTAAAATTAAATATTTAGCAAAATTTTATTCCTATGATATTGATACTGAAATAAATTTAATCAGTGAATTCGAATTGTGGTATAAATATTTACTACGTTTAGCTATTTTACCTGAGCATGCTATTGATGCGCTCAATCGGTGTAAAGAAACCTTGGCTCAAATTCCTAATATTTTGAAGTTGTTTTATATTCTACTATGTTTGCCTATTATAACATGTACGAATGAAAGGACTTTCCAACTTAAGAAGGTTGAAAACATATTTATGAAGTACTACTTTTGAATCTCGGCTAAATGGGTTATCTCTGTTAAATATCCACAGAGATTTCATTCCAACGATAAACAAAATTCTTGATGAATTGGCAACATTCCCACGAAAATTAAAAATCACATTATAATTATAGTATTTAATAAAAAAATTTGTATAATATTGTATTTGATAAGAAGTTAAAACTTGTTTTTTAAATTATTTTCTAGTCAATATTTTATAGTGTTGTTAAACGCCTTGTTTTGAGCCGATTTTTAAAAACCGCTAACTCAGTTATTTATCCAGAAAAATATTATGCAAGCCTGAAAATTTTGCTCATAGAAGGAGCAAATGTCTAGACATATAGTATCGAAATTTAGAGGTTTAGTTAATATTTTTCTGGCGAAAATATTGATTAATATTTTATACACACTACTATTAGTATTTTCAATAAAAAAATTATATTATACTTATATTGTATGAGAATTTAAGCTGAGGCTAGTTTTTAAAGCAAATTTTATTAAAAAAATGACATTAAACTTTATTTCAACCTTACATTTAAAAAACTTTATTAAATATAATATACCTAACTAAAAATAATAAAAAATAGGCTTGTGATATCCATTAGCACGAATTAGTAAATAATAGTTACAAATAGAAATATAATTATTATTAAATTATGAATAATTTAATGGAAAAACTAAAACATAAGATCCCCCGGCCTATAAAAGGGTTTGGGGGCGAAGCTCCCAAAAAAATTTCCCCCCACCATTCATAAGAAAATCCTTGATACGCCACTGTTCTTATGTAATTCTTTTGAAAGTTTGGAAACTTTTGGAACAATTTTGAACACAGCCAAAAAAATTTTTTTAAATATTTACAAGAATATTGTTTATTATCAAGGTCTAGGCTAATAACAAATTATTTATTTTATTTTTTTTCTGACAAAAAATAATAACAGAGATTTGACCAAACAGATGAAAATATTTGTAACTAAAACTAATCAATAATATCTGACCATGAAATTCCCCTTCCTAAATATTTTGTTTTATATATAAAAAAAATTAGGTTCCAAGTTTCGAAAATATTATTTAAAAAAATTTGTAATTTTTGATCAAATCCATTTAAGATGGTGCAAAATGCAAAATATTATAATTAAGGGAAAAAATAATTTAAAATTTAAAAATCTAACTTTAGTAACAAAATATATTTTAAGTTTATGCTAGAGAGATAACTCCCAAGGTAACAAATTATTGTAAACAGATTATTAGTAGACTAGCCCCAACTATTTTCTTTATTCCAAATGTAAATTATTATATATTAAAAGTTTGATCAATAAAATAAAAATTATTTGATATATAATTACGAGTCGATTAATTTTATCTCCAAAAAAATATGGATTGGACTTAGATAATAACTATAGAAGATTTTTAAATAAATTCTAGAATTAATATTGATACAAGATTCATAAATATTCTATTAAACTTGAAAATACTGAAAAATATAAATGTAATTATTTAGGAAAAAAATATATAATTAATTCTTTCTAATATACTAAATTTGATTAATGGACTTAACCAAGATTTTTATAAAAAGAGAAGCACTATTGGATGGGTTCCCTGCATAACATTTATTGAGGGGCTTTATACCCAGGTCTTTTACAGTGTTAAATTCTAGAAAAACAATTTTTTGTTTTTATACTTATTTTTTTTTTTGAATATTTAATTTAATTTTTTAAAATGATTAATTTATACTCTAAAATAAATTTCGTTTATAATGATAATGACAAATTGATTTTTTAGAAAGAGAAGAAGGGAAGGGTAATTTTTATTGTCTTAAAATAATATTTACAAAATATTGCCAATTTTTAAGAGGGGACCCCCTCCCTTAGCTAAGCCTATGGGTAAATTTTATTTTAGAAATTTCTTGAAAAAAAAGACACACAATAAGAAAGGTTAAAATAAAACTATGTAATGATAATCTTTTAGATGCTTTTCCTTCTTTACAATACATTCATTAAGATTAGAGGTAAATTTTTAAACCCTGCCCAGTTCGGTTAAAATTTTTTCATACCAGCCAGGCCCGATTTCAATTTTTTATTAAGGTTGTCCAGTCCAGCCGGTTTAATAAAATTTTAAATACAAGGCCTTCGAAACATATCAACAAAATAAACAACTATTCATAATATTGGGGAGTGGTTAAATTAAAAATACCCTACATTATGAATTATCACTTGTATAAAATGTCAGAATTAATTAAATATATATATACAAAAAATATTTTTGCTCGGCCTAGTCCAAATAAAAAATGAGCTTTGTAGACCTCTAATTTAGATATCCTGATTCACTTAACTCATGAAATTTTTTTTTATTAATATACAACAAAACACCAATAAAAACTTCTTTCGTTAAAATTTCAGATTTGCAAAAACAATTCCTTTCCAGGATAAAGATCTTACATATTCTATCAATTTATTAACATATTTTAAATTAAAATTTTATTTATGTACATTGGAATTGATATATGTGAAAGATGGCCCTAGCAAATATTTCTGGAGCTTTTGCCTCCGATGTATATATATATAGATTTAGTAGGCCCTTTATAGGCTTATATTATATAATCTATTTATTACCTGCACTTATAAAGCATCCAAAGAATGAACTTATCATCACCAGCCAAGCCCAACCTTGATCCAAATCTCTCGCAGAATACATAATATCGAAGTTCGGCTTAGCTTTATAACCATGATCCTCGCGGATCCTTTTTTTCAATTCTCCTTCTCCCGGTTTCAATTTAAGCTCGTGGATTGGATTTTGTTTAGGCATCTTAATAAAGAAGTATATTTTGAGAATTATACTTCCTTCATAGAATATATATATTAATCCTAATTTTTTTAAAGTAAATTTGTGGAGAAACTACATTAAGAAAATCATTTTTTTTCCCCAGAATTTTACGAAAAAAAATTTAAAAAAAATTAAATTTATCGTAAAATATTAGTTTATATAAAATGTATATAATAAATATAATAACGTTTTAAAGACTTTTATTTATGCTCATAATATTAATATTTCTTTTTCTCATTTAAAATGTAAATAGATGGGAATTTTCCCAACTAAAGCAAAAAAAAAATTTAATTTCTTTAAAAATTAAAAAAAAAATTACAAACATAAATTAAAATTTAAACAAAAATGTCGCAGAGCAACATAATTTTATTTTTTTAGATTTTACGGATATTTTTTTTATATTTATTTATTTTCAATGTATTTTTCTAAAAAATATATCTAAATATCTCAAGGCACCACTATCTCCTACATACACTAATGTATTCGTGGTATCTATTTTATGACACTTTTTGGCATATAATTACTTTTATATCTTAAAAAATTATAAAAAAATCCCTGATACCTTTTAAATATATTCTATCATGCCTTTATATATATAATTTTATGAATATTTTGCATTTTTATATTTTTAAAAAATTTGTTTTAACTTTCATGACTATTATATAGGACATTTTTGCGCTTTAACTACAAATTAATTTTTTTTATAAAATTCTAGGCCCTCAGTAATAATTATTCTTTGTCATTTTTGGATAGCTAAAAAAATCCCTGATAATGTGTAGATAAATTAATTTGTATATATATATCCCCAAGAAATTAACAAACGATTGGAATTTTACTAAAATCTAACCAAAAGCTTCCTTTTTTTATAATTTATTCTACACATAAAAAATATCTTGATATCTTACTTTGATCAATTTTTAAAAACAAAATTCGCCGAGTTATAAGATATCAGACTTGAAGAAAAATCTTTACTGGCAAAACGACTTAAAGTATACTAAATTTTAAAAATTTGCAAATAATAATAATTTTTTTGATACTAATTGTATTTCTCTATTTATTTTTGTACTAATAAAAACAACGTTACAATTAAGGTTATTACTATTTCATTAAATAAATAATTTATCACAACTTTTTAAAATTTAAAATTTTTCATTTTTGTTACATATTAAAATACTTCTACAAGAGAGATCAAATCATAATTTATTGGTAAATTAAAGCGATGAGTAAAAATTTGAAATTTTTAATATGTGACTTATCAGTTATCAGTTAGGCAAGTTAAAAGTGAATGATATATTTAAAGCGTGAAGAGCACGATTTTTCCCCTTGCTAACGTCACCATTTCATGTAGGTGAATATTTTCACCTCATGTGTCACACAACATTCTGACTGAAAAACATTAATAAATATAAAACATTGGTAAGAGGTCAATAATTAGTACTTCTGTATTTCCGATTGGCATGATGCCAACTCATTCTTATTTGGCTTATAGTTCACTTATAATTTGTTTTGCTGACTTAAATGTTGGAAACCTATTTGGGGCCAAAGCATGCATTAAATATTTACTCAAACTATATAATTGGGGATCTGTATTCTCCGTTTTGACATAATACCAATCATTTATTTTTCTTACACTTCGATTTCCGATGATTGAATTGATACATTGAATATCACTAATTAAACGTTTGGGATGCCTAATATATTTATTGCTTCGAGAAAATTTGCCGACATAATGTTTCTTATTTAGCAAAAACTAAATTCCCATTAGTTTTTCTAACTTAATTTATTGAAAAATTTGGGGCTATAGTACATACTAAATATTGACGAAAACTAAAATATTGCTTCTAATACGTTTTGACATAATCACACTCACATTTGATTTGACTAAATATTTGCATTATCATTAAAATTAGTATATTACATTACCTTTTCTAGAAGTTTGCTGTACTGCTTTTTATTTTTTTTCTAATAAAATAACGCATTCTCTTTTCATTCTTGTTCCAAAAAGATATTGTACTAAGTTTCAGAATATATAAATTTCCATATTTGCCAATACAGAGCTTAAAATGCATATTTCTTTTTTCTACAGTAAATTTTTACATGAATATTAGGGTTATAAAATTTAGGGTGAATAATATTAGGTAATTTAGAAAAAATAAGAAAATGCGGAAATCTGGGAAGAAAAATTACAATTTGCGTAGTTTATATCGAACGGCGAATACATTTAGCGAAAAATTTATCGGGAACCCATTATTGCAAAATCTTTATCGCGCCTTTATATACTACCACGAATGTGTGTGAAGTCACTAATGCCAGAGCATTATCACGAAAAATGAATATATTGAGAATGGATTTATTAATAGGCAGACAACAATTCAATATATAATTTATCAACAAATGTAGTAAGCAATAGTTGACATAAATGTGACCTTTATCTGATGTGATGAAAAAATAACTTCGAAATTTCTTCCCTGATCTTTCCCAACATGAAAGCTAAGAATTTGGGTTACATGTTAATTCTGAGATACTTGTATGGCAAAATTTTATTATAGCGAATGGATTTTCTATCGAAACTTTCATCTTGAATCCACATTCGCGAATATTATTCAGCGATGACTATATCATGAATCAAATATTGTGAATTTTTTATGGCAAAACCCATACCGCAAACTATTTTGAACGAATATATAAAAGCAAAATTTTATCGTGCATCAATAATTGCTAAAATTTTATAGCAAAGTAATTTTTGTGAAACCAAATTGTGAAGATAATATAATATAGCAATATCGCGATAATTGCTAATGGTGTCTATTTTATTTTAAAACATTTATTTTTAAAGAACATATTATAAATGATATAAAAATAGATTGAAAGATGGATTCAAATGATAGAACTTTTAATTTTTTTAACCTTAATATATTTATATAATAATTCTCGAGCATAAGGGGTTTAGAAAATTTATTATAGGGATATTAACTTTTATTTTACCCTGTCCCATGCTATTCCTCGATCCTTATTTTATATGAATAGCACATATTTTTTACCTTTGTTTTGATATTAAAAACCTATCTTGGAACCTTTTTTTAAGGCAAAGACTCGCTACCGCCATTATTTGCTCTAACTATCTAAGTTATATCTCTTTCATTGAATAATCTTCCAAGTTTCCATATACTTCCCCTCTACTTTTATACTATTTACTAATTTCCTTTTTAGACATCCTCTTTTTAAATCCCTTAGCCTTTTTCCTAAATTCTATTTTTTTTTTATTAAATTCATCTTAGAAAAAATAATTATATGCCATTACCTTTTGACAATATACTATAACAGTTATTCAAATAAAGAAATAATTGTATTGAAAAAAAAATTTAACCCTTAATCATCAAAAAAAATTTAAATGTCTTTAGTTATGTATTTCCTAATTGTATTATAAATAATTATACAAATATATTCATAAGACATGTTCTAACTTATGTTATGAATGGCACAGTGCGATTTTATTTTAAATTATTATTTTTTTCTATAAGAAAATTCTTCTTAAGCGTTGAGTATTGATTTTTTTTTTTTAAAAAGTCACATAAATAGTTTTTTTCTAACACCTAACTTAATAATCTGCTTTTAATTCTTTTAATAATTTCCAAAATATAAGGTAAACTAGGTAAAAAGTTGAGATATTTTTTCTATAAAAAATTACAAAGGTTAGCAGTTAAAAATACTAATTTAATCATATTTGGAAAGTATCAAGTATTTTTATTCCATTAATTAATTTGATAGGTTTATTCTCTGTAAAAAAAATTAAAAATGCGTTTTAAAATGGACTTTGTTCAACGGTAAAAAGAATAGGGGTATATTGACATTTTTTCACACTACTCTTTTTAGTATTTGTAGCTTTAGCGAGCTCTTTTTTTAAAAAAAATAGTGGTAGTTAGCTTCTAGATTAAAAAAGATACACATAAAAATTATTAAATATATTTATAATTTTATAATTAATACTAAAATCATAATCTTTTTACTTAATTTAATTTTGAAAACAATTTTTAAAATGTCGACAATAGTGATTTTATATTAAAAATAATTTTGGTACAGATCATATTGACAAAGTAATTTCCACAGAAAACGATGATAATATAGAGATTCCTCTTCCCAAATTAGCAAAATTTTTAATTTCTGTAAAAATATTAACACGGAGTATAAAATTCGTTGTAAGATGTGCCAAAAAGTTCTATCATCAAAAGATTAGTTTCAACTTGAAAAACATTTAAAGGCAACATATCAAACAAATTTACTATCAATGTATAGCCCAATCCTTAATCTTTAAAATAAAATTCAAATCAATAGTTTTTGAGCTATATGAGTTTATGTAAAGTTGATTTTCCCTATTTAATGATAATATTTTATAAATATCTTAATTATCTGGATATTTACTATTGTTCACCCTAGTTTCAAGCTGAATTGACCAATAATTTGATTGAATTCAAAGGACAACTTGATAGGCTAATGGTAACATTAAATAATACTATACCAAACCAGGATACCCTAGCAAGATCAATAGATTTTTTTAAATATATAATATACTATTGAAATACCTCTAGACCCATTTTTAAATATAAAAATAATCAAATAAATATTTTTGATGACTTTTTTTATGTGTACTACATAATACACTGCATTCTTAAGTTGCTCTATACCTGGGGGTGACAGTATAGAAATGTTATCATTATTGAAATGCAATAAATAAAAAAAATTATACATATACGTAAAAAATATTTTAAAAATATCTAAAGTATCGTAAAAAGTATTTAATGCTGTTGCATTTTTTGTAAAATAGTGTTAGCGATAGCGCGTTACTTTTAAAAGTAGCGTTCAACAACACTGTATTTTTTAAATAATTTTTATCTATGTTCAAATTGAAACGGGATAGAAGATAAAATGAAAAAAATACACTACATATTTTATGCTTTCATAATGCGAGTTTTTGTTCTAAAACAATAGAAACCCCTTTATATGTATTAAAAAAAATTAAATTTTCATTAATCACTATTATTTAATTTACAATATACTTTTTATATTTTATTTTAAAAAATTTAAATAGTTTTTTTTAATAATGCGCATGAACCTTGAACAAACAACAAGTAATCACGAAATTTGAAACTAGACCAAGATTGTCTTTTAATTAATTAATAATTTATGTTTCTCTTTTTAGAAGAAAATTAAGAGTATTTAACATTATCATGGATCAAAAAACCATTCTTTTACAAGCAAGATTCGGAGTCGAAATGCTTTCAAATCACATTCGCACGA